TTTGGAATTATTAATCATTAATGAGTCATGTCAATTGAGTTGGAATTTAATTATATAAATTTTAATAATTATTATCATTTGTTTATTTGTAAGTTTGGAATTGAGAATAGTGACGTGAGATAAGAAAAGTTGCTTTGTTTCTCTTTACCTTTCTAAAGTATTAAAAATCTTATCAGTATCTGGTAAATTATTACCAACAATAAAAAAGGTGCTTCAGGCCCTGAGGCTTTTAATTCTTCTTATCGTTCTATGATACTTGTGTGGGATATTCATGCAGTACAAAAACTTCATTGTCGTTAAGTAATACACAACAAACCACCAAATACTTAGTTCAATCCATAGAAATGTTTACACCTATTCGTTTTGTTATTATTATTTTTCGGCTATTGTTCACTTAAATGTTTGGTTTACTACGCTTCGTTTGAAATGTGACAGACATTTTTTATTGATAACTTTTATCGATTAACTGTAAAAACAATTTTTCCCCAATTTACCAACACTCGTTAAAGCGATTGTACATTTATTTTCCTTCTTTCATTCACACTAAGCTCACCGTATCAGTTTGCATGTGAATTTCATACTGAACGGTAGTAAAGAATTTCCGTTTCCTACTTTCCCAATGAGATAATATTAAGACGGTTCGAAAAATGTATAAAAAGTTTCCCGAAACGATTGGTAATTGCATTGTTCACATTATTAAGAAATATAAAAAGGATTTAGAAATCAAAAACTTCTTTCAACAGCAAATTTTCCTTTCCTTCCGGCTGGATTAAGCTTCGGTTATTTATTCTTCCTACCATGGATTGATGAAGAGCTTTACGATTCTGTCACTTTTTGGCCGTTCTTTGCAATGCTTTTCGCAATTGTTGTGACAGCTTCTACCATTTCAATAACCAAGTTAAGCAGTGGGAAATACATTTTTGAACATTTCAAATACTTTTTCGCAACAAATGTTTCGTTTATTATCGCTGGAATTCTTTTCGTGGTGTTACGCGATGATTGTGAGTGTTTGAAATCTTTATTAATCCATAAAATATTTAAAGAAATCAATGATTATTGTTCTTATTCCATTGAGTATGTAATAGCAAATATCATTTGTCTTATCGCTCAATTGGTGCTTTATACTTGATTCATAATTCCATTTCTTATCAATAAGTTATTTTATCTTTTTTTATTTTTATTTTTCGCCTTCGTAGATACCTATATAGCTTTATTCTTCTGCGCGATTACGAGTGGAACTGCTTTCATGTCCGGACTCTCATATATCAACATTCGTTCGGAAAAACGTGAACGTCCCATGAGACTTGCTTTATGTCATGTGTGGAAGTTGATTGGATTTGCTATCGTCTTCACAGTTTTTATTTACAGTCTCGACAAAGATGGATTAGCAACAGATGAGACACTTGAGAATTTTTATAGAGTCATAGGTTACATTATGATATCTTCAAGTGCAATTTGAATTGTTCTCATGATGCTTAATGAGTTCAGTCAACGCAAGGATGTAATCTACAATTACAAAGACTGTCTTGATCATGACAACTCGATTGCCAACAATTATTGCAAACTGTTTTCTAAAAATGAGGTCGTTATAAAAAGAATAGCAACTATGTCTTCATCAGGAATGTGGAAATCAACTGAAAATCTTCTACCAGAGAATAAGAAAAACTTTACAAACTTGTGGACAATTTATTTGATGATAACGAAGCTCCATGGTGCCATTGTGTTTCATTCCTTCCTTATGATTTATTCCATTCAGACATCGACATCATACGTAGATGATGTTTTGGGTATGGGAATAATCGTATGGATGATTGCACTCGGATCTCTCATCGGATGCATTTTACTACGTTTTATTAACAGCAAAGACGTCTACACTTTGGCATCAACTTTTGGAATTCTTGCAATTGGAATTTCTTATATTTTCGTTTCCAATGACAATTACGTGATTTCAATTTGTTTATGGATCTACTTTTTTGCAATATCAACTGCAGTTGCAATTCCTGATATTGCACTTCTTGAAATATCCAAAATACGATACAATGAAGGTGCACTTGCTTTGGGATTCTTTTTTGAGATCATCGCCATCGCCGTTCTTCAAACAACTATAGAAAAATCTGTACTTTTAAATCCTGATAGTGAAGAATATTTACTTCATATTATCGGAATAATTGTTGTTCTTGTTGTTACTAGCTTACTTTTCCAACTTCATATGCCAAACACATACAACAAATCGTTGCTTCAGATTCAGAATGAACTCCTGAAATTTCACAAATATTTTGCGATTTATTTCGACAATAGCCTTCCAAGAAGCTCTTCGGAAAACAATGAATATTTGGAAAATAATACTGTGAATGTTTTTGAAGACAACGCCAGAAAAATAACAGAAGCTCAAGATGTTTATCCATCAAATGATTACTCAGAAGTCATGGAAAACAAGCTTCCCGACCCTCCTGTCAACAAAGTGATTAATTTTGATTACAACACCGATATTCCTAAACCTCCACTCATTATACCTCGAGTGAACTATTTCAAAGAAAAAATGTCACTTTATCAAAATGAATGAAATTAATTATGTACAAAATATTTTGTTGCATGTAAATTGATTTGATTAACGTTAAAGGAAAATTTCAGTTCTGAAAATTTACAAAATAAAAGAATTAAACGTTACTTTGCATAGTTTCTTAGTGCATTTAAAAAGTTTCATAGAAAGAATTTAAATTAATTAAGTTAGTTTAAGACAATTTCAGATAAGCAGTTAAGCTTCCACAAGCTTTCAAGAGATGTCGCTACCGTAGTCACGTTCAAAACCTTTTTTTGATATTCTCAAGCGAAAGACATTATGAAAAGTGTTGAATTGGCACATATTCAGAAAAGTGTGAAGAAGGAAAAGAAAGGAAAAGCGTAACAGAGATTATGCTAAGCCTTCAATTTGTTCTTAAAATCTCACATCAAACACAGATAAGTAGAATTTATCATTTCACATTATTTAGCAGCACTTTGTGAATGACAGCGTATACACGTCTACACGTATAATAAGCGAGAAGGATGAATTTGAATTTCAATCGATTTTCCTCCTTTTGAATGGTTTTCATCTTTTCCTATTCTGATAAATAGATGAAAGACGCAGCTTTTTATTGATAGACGAAACGATCAATTTCAATTTTTGAATTGATATCATCGACTATGAATCCTTCTTGTTCTTCCTACACATTTCAAACAAAAATTTACATACTTTGGTGTAACTTCTGTAAGGCTTAAAGTACTGAAAGAAGAATAAATTACTTGCTGTTGTTGATGTCATCAGTCTTCCAACGAACATGTTGAAATTTTGATGTCAAACCCTGAACATGACTACATTGAAACGAAAAACATTTTGAATTCCCTCAGAGATTTAATCGAGATGATTGATCTCATTCACCTGTGAATTGAATCAATTAGGAAAGCAACGATAAAAAAACAAAGAGACTAGTAGGTGGATTGAAATTTTTAAAAACAAAGTTTCGATGAATGGAGTAAAACAATCATTGCTAGAAGCTATTAAACCTACAACAACCAGCACTCTTTCTACGAAAAAATAATTGGGGATAAACGAGAAAACTGATAAAATGGCCTTTTTCTTTCTCTTTTCAGAACTCATTAATTAGATTTGACATCAGAAACTTATCCGATAAGGTTGTACAATGAATAAAAAAAGAGAAAACATCAAGAACCTTTCTCTTGTTTTTAATTTACAAGGAAGCAAAACGAAAATGATTTCTCAGCTTATTGAGCTACCCGAGAAAAATCTAATTTAATTTAAGTAAAACGAAAAAGCTTTTAAGATTGATGTTTTTACTGGGAGGACTAAAGCATTGAAAACTTAAGAGATTTTAATTAGATATATTTTCATAAAATATTCAATGAAAAAGAGAAGATTAGAAATTGATTTTAACAACAACTGAAACTGACCATTCCAT